AATAGTTCATTAAGTGTTCGACATTGAATGCTGACCACGTGTTTAAGTGGACTTGCTTAGCTGAAGGCTTTCGGTCATGCATCCGTACCAGATCACGTTTCAACACGGCGTGGGACACAGCTCCTACGTTTCATTAGCCAGCTCATAGAAAAGGTCCTCGATATATTGGTAACGAATCAAATATATCTTTCCTGCCTCTTCTCGTCTGACTTCTGATTTCTATCTGACTGGGAACGATCAAATATAGAAGGTGCTACTGGTGGCTAGTTGTAAAACTAGAACATCCGTTGCATCATCAACGTCAAAAAACCAAAGTTATCGGAAGAGAGTCCACGAATTTAGAGTAAGATTTCATTTTTTAAGCAAGTTGTAACGACATCCTCAAGAAAGCACTATTTGATCAATCTACGGCCTTTCTGTATTAAAACTGCACCAAAACACTTATTCAGTGACGAAACTGGTCAGGTGATTCGACATTTATGTTATTTGATACTCATTGTAATTGGAGGTTATTGCTTACTGTACACGACTTCCCAGCGTTTTTTGTAATGTGCGTTACTTTGCTCTTCTATTAGGACTTCCCTATTTGTTTACAATCTTCCTCCTGATATCCTTCACTGTACGTCGTTTTCATATATAAAATTTTTTGTGCTTCTGAATAAAGATTTAGGCTATTTCCCACTATGTATTAACTAGAGTAACTTTAGGTCTTTAGGGAATAATTGTTCTTACTATGTAGGACAGACTATGCTTTAACAGTCTGAATCTAATTTGCATCCATTTCAGTGATACAAACTATGGTTGATTTGAGTTGGATTGAAAGGCTATTCAAGGCTTTTAAAGGTACCGGTAATCAATTAGCAATTGTAAATATACTTACAATTTACAACCAACATATATGTTGGTAAGGTTGCGTTAGCACCTTTAAATCTTCATATTCCAGTACAAATAACGTTTTATATTTCATATATCACTAGTTCCTTTAAGCAGATTACTTTAAAGTGGTATATCAGGTGCACATCAATCCACTTGAAGAATGGTACACATATCGATTAACTCTATTTTGCCTGGAGTTCAGGTGAATCCCTTTTTTATTTAAACACATATATATTGGTACAAAATGGCACCAGGTACATATACACCACACAAAATAATGAAAGTAGGAAGAGAAGGGATGAAAAGATAAGGCGGACTGAAATGTACAACCAGAAGACTCTTTCAGTTAGGAAAGTTAGAACCATTCTTTATGTAGAAAGTAAAAGAAGGTTGCAGCAGGATCGCCACTGGCTTCTATTCTGAGCCATATCTGATAACGTCTCTAGCCACTGTGTTGCACTATCTCTCGGACCCCAACCAAGGAGTCGTGAAGGACCAACGGAAGCTAGCCCTTTGCAGCTCTCTTTCATGCCACGACACCATGTCATACACTGACCTCCTCTCCGCTTTTTCCAACCAGTCCCAGGGTCGGCAAATAATGCACGACGTGGAAGTCTCTGGGACGACATTCGTAAAGCATGTCCAAGCCACCGAAGTCGGTGTTTCAAGATGGTGACACCAATTGAATTATCGTCTCTGCGCCCGAACACACGATGCCGAACCTCTGCATTACTAACATGGTGTTGCCACTGGATGTCAGCAATCCTTCGGAGACAACGATGATCGAACACAGAGAGACGTCTAACATCCTCAACTCGGAGAGGCCAGGTTTCACAAGCACAGAGCAAAACTGCTCTCACCGACGCGTTGTAGATCCGACCTTTTACAGCCAGACTAACATGACGAAGGCGCCAAAGATGGCCCAGATTGGCATAAGCCGCTCTGGCTTTCATTATACGTGCATCAATCTCATCACTCACGCCACCACCAGCACTTATATAGCTACCTAGATACACGAACTTCTCAACTACTTCGATCTCCTCACCATCCAGGGTGAGTACAGGATGAGAATCCTGCCAGTCTTGTAGGAGTACTTTGCACTTGGAGGGTGCAAAGCACATGCCGTACCTGCGGACACTGATTGCCAACTGATTAAGTGCTGATTGCATGCCTTGGGCATTATCGCACAGTAAGACAATATCATCCGCATACTCAAGGTCGAGAAGTCGTTCTCCAGGCAACATATCCACACCGCCATTACTTACATCCATCAGAGCTGTTTCCAGGATGTCGTCGATGGCAAAGTTGAAGAGGAATGGTGAGATCGGGCAACCCTGTCTAACCCCACTGCTCGAATGGAACAAGGTGGTTGTATGCCCTCACTCTGCCTGAGGTGTTCGTATACAGGGCCTTTAAGATGTTAATGAACTTCTCAGGCACACCCTTCTTCAATAGACAATCCCAGAGAACAGTCCTGTCCAACAATCGTAGTGTTTCTTGATATCAGGGCGGCCTTCGATTTCAATGTTTAAGCTTAAGAAAGGTCTTGTAGATGTTAACTTTGATATAATTTATATGCTTTATTTGTCTACGTCGTGAAAGTTACTGAAGTAATAATTTAAAATAATTTGTTACAAAGCCATTATTCTCAATAAATTTTCCCCGTTCAGTATTCCTACACAATGGGTTTCGAGCATTTCTACTCGAAGCGAACTCCGGGAAAAGCTTACTTCCAACTATCTGACTTGATTTAAGTGATTAGAGAAATCGGTAGTTATTGCTGTAACATATTATCGATCTCGGATTGTATTGTCGTGTTTAATGGGGCTCCTTTACTAAAAAAGTTCCTACTAAATGAATTTGAATGACATAGCTTGAAGTCGTTTGCAATGGAACAGGCGCATGCACTTCTTGTGTTCTTCCAAACTTTGATCTGAATTCTTCATGTCCCTCTTCTTTTTCTCTTTCCGAATTTGTTTCACTGGATTATATTCCTTGAATAACACCTTCAAACCGTAATCTTTCGGATTACTGCTTATACTCTTACTACCTCTACCATTATGGGTTTTGGATCGACCATTGTATCTCTGTGCTAATGTGGTGTGGCAACTTGAACCGATGAATGTACGTACGAAGTTCTACTTTGTTACTGACTAACTTTCACTCTTCCACTTCTTTTTTAGAGCAGTGGGTTAGACTGATCATTGGGATACTTTATTTTATCACTCAAGTATATAAGTAGAGCTTTTAATAAAACGGATATTTTCGCTAGTTGTTTCGACTGGATTTTGACCAGCTCTTTATACGTACTTTCTCTTCACATTAATCTGGTACGACTGGGCTTTAAAAATAGAACACATCACAGAGATATTATTTTGTTTAAATAAAGTATGTCAAATCACAAGCCTGGTAATTTTATGATAATAGCAGTATGTTTGTGATGTCCTATTGATTAGAAAACTAGATTTCTGATGTCACAGTATAGAATAAGTCTCTTCTCTAGGATATACATAAATCCCTGAACTAAATAACATAGCAAGTAACATAGTACGGAATAATAAGGCAGAACATTTAATATGGTCGAAATACATCCAATCATGTAAATGCCATGTTATTTCAGTCAAGGTAGCTCTCATATTATATATATATTACCTAATCAGTCATTTACTTGAAATGGTCAAGTCAAAACTCGATAGTGATAATTGTTATTAATTTTGTTTGTTCGTTTACATAGACTGAAGATGTCCACAACGGGGGCTCATGGATCCTCAAAGTATATGGAAAAACTCAGGGAACTTCACTTAAGAGTGGTAGGTTCGAAATCTCTATTCGATTATATAAAAAAAGTATATTCGTATAAACAACCGTATTAATAACCTACTTTAAAAAAAGAGTTTATTTATTTCAACACATAAACATTAGTACAATAAGGGACCAAATATATAGGCCACATGAATTATTCTATTTGTGTAAGGGCTGGGACACTGCACGAGTGTCCAAACCAAAGTAGGTGATTTTCCTAAGGGGTCACCCCCCCGAATCCACAAGGCAATAAACCAACGTTAGATGATGCAGTCACATAGTAGCTGGTGACCAACAATAGGTCCGTGCTCCATTTGTTTCCTTGGTGTCATGGAGCTCATGTGCACCATTGGTTTGGAATCAAGGTTTTCCAACCTTCCCAGGTGAACCTCCGTGTTTACCAACTCAGTTAAAGGGTCGGACATAAGCTTTCTTAAACAACAACTCTAATTGGCGGTGTTATCACGTTTATAAACCAACAGGACATCCAGGAGGTCACAAGTTATAACATCTGTTTACTTACGGTATTTTAATACAAGAAATCTCACTCTCAAACGTCACAGTATATACACAAACTAAATCGCCCTGAAACTTATCAAATCTTTTGACATTCCCAAGCCTAAACCTTCTCAATCGATAACTCATGAAAAATGCTGCAGTTGAAACTCTTATTGGTTCTTTTTGAGTCCTAGTATTTCGGTCCATCTACCACCTGATAGGACACGTAAGCTAACACAAGTAACCTTGAGCAGTGACGACACAATCTTAAATACTCGTGGTCCGTCAATACAAGCATTTATCCTTCCTTCTTGACTTCGGATGAGAACACCACAAGTAAGCATTTATCATTATATTTAAAGCACCCAGCATATCTATCTTAAGCACATTAGTTTATATATATGCGAATTGTAGGACTACGGCGTACCCAATAATAAATAATATTTTTTATACAATTGTTCTGCAAGTGGCTGAGATTGGATCAAACGGTTCATAACTAATTAACAATATTCAAGGAACAATATATCGTACAAAAATAGTTAGTAGGTCCAATAGAATCTCAAAATAAGGAGGATAGAGTTATACAATAATCCAACTATCTAATATATATAATAAACGTGTAAATGATAAGTCTGTAAAACAATTCCGAAGGATACAACACTCAGTATTCGCTTCGTCACTACATATTTCAAGTATTCGCGCTCCTGAGAAAAAACGTTTTGCGAATAATCATGATACTATGTTTGCAAATTATATTATACTGGCGAAATAACTTGTAATATTGATTACAGTGATTGTTTATAAAAGTAAAACAAATTTAAGAGTTTCTTACCTTTTTCATTTAGAATGAGTCTCGAAAATCTAATCATATTCAAGTTGTTGAAGAGGATAAGCGATCAAAACTTCCATCAAACTGGGAAGTACGACAAAAACGATTACAATGGGAGGAAGAAGATGAAATATTTAGATTGGAATGTAATCAACAAAAAATTGATCCAGATCGAATGCGTGCATTAAATGTTAGTGCAGAGATAGCCGATCGTCTTGAAACAAGACGAAGAAAAAAATGTAATACAGATGAAGGATTTTCAACATATGCTGATGCATCACATCGTAAATATCTTAAAATGACTAAACAGATTAAACCAGATTTGGTTGCTTATCAAAAGGAGAAAGAAAAACTGTAAGTTACATGTGTGTTCAGAATGTTTATGTTATGTTGCAAATTTATTTTCATTAGACCATAATTCCATGGGTTAAGGTATTGAACTCTCAACCACTAAGTCCGAATCCCACTCTACCCACTACCCTTCATATTTTTGTATTATATTCCAAACGGAATCTATGAGGGATCTATATTTCCTATATCCCTAATAAAAGAAAATTCCATCCTTGTTTTTTCTTCGTATAACTATGGAAACTGGTACCTAAAGCATAAAGAAAACTGGGATTAACGCGACGTAAGGAAAAACTGAGATAATGAAGATTTTATTAATCTTTTGAGAATTCGGTTGCTTTAGTCGAATACATCTATTTATGTCTGAATAGATTATACTAGCCTTGATGATTAGTTAATAAATATAATATATAACCGAAATAAGGGAAGAATAAAAATAAATTTTACGCAGGATCAATAAGAAAGTGTGCTGCATGTTAGGCCAAACAAATATTACACCAATTTAATATAAAAGAACACTATAGTGAATAAATATCATACTAAAATAAATCAAATTTTATTCTAAGCAGATTTAACATTAAATTAGAAGTAGAATAAATAAATGTCACATTAAATTAAAATAGTCTTGTGTTTCATCCCATCCTAATGCTTTTCATCTCAACAATGCCATCTCGTTGATAAATCGAGTGATATAATGTCTTCATAGTAGTAATAGTAGAAAACTGACTACCCGATATCTGCTAAGTCATCCTTTGATCCACAATGCTAACATCTTCGGGATCCGTTTCTTCCCTTCTAAGTGCAAAATATCGCTCCAAAACTGGTCTGGGTTAACCGTCGAACTGGCGATGGGAAGTAAAATAACTAAATACATCGACCACTTCACTTATCTTGAAAGCCTCATCAACCCTGCTGAGTGGCTGTCTGACGAAATCTCGGCACACGTTCTGATAGCCCATTCGGCGTTTTTCAACTTGCTTCACTTGTGTCTCACATGATATACCAGTCTACCAACCAAAGGGCATTTATACTGTTCAGCACTCCTCCCTGTTCTACTTTATGGGTTGTGAATCATGGCGAATAAAAGTAGGAAGTGTGCGCAGACTTCAAGTTCTTCTTCATAGGTATCTTGAAAGCGTTGCTCAAATATTTTGGGACTAACATGTGACCAATGTTGATGTAAGGCATAGGATACTAGATAAATTTGGAAAGTCGGTTGATGAAGTTGCAAATATTTGACAGAAGTAGTTCAGTCAGTCGCAAAGAACTTCGTACGTGCGTACATCAGTTTGAGTTGCTATACCACATTAGCACAGAGATCCAGTTGTCGATTCAAATCACATAGTGGTAGAAGTAGTAAAAGTATAAGCATTATGTGAAAGTTTATGGTTTGAAGATGTTATTGAAGGAGTATAATCCAGTGAAATAACTCTGGAAAGAGAAAAAAAAGATTGGGACATGAAGAATTCAGAAGATTAGAATTTGGCATAACACAAAGAATGGATGCACCTGCGCCATTGCAAACGATTTTGAGCCATGTCATTCAAGGTCTCTAACCATCGATCGCTATCATCTCGCGAGTCCCAACCAGGTAGTCTACACCTACCAACATGACTCAGTCCACTTGTCAGTGACTTCATGGATTTATGCCACGTTTTGGTCTGGCGGCGGTCTTCCAACCTACTCTTTCGCCATAAAACATTGCACGTCGGGGCAGTCGGTGGTTGGGCATACGTAACACATGTCCCAGCCATCTCAACTGACGAAGTTTCACCACTTCATCAATCGATTTGCCATCCTTACCTAGTATCCGTTTCCTAACAATTGCATTACTTACTCGGTGGTTCCAGGATCGAATACTAGTAGCCTACGAATATCCTTTGCTCCTATCGACCATGTTTTACTGCCATAAAGTAGGACGGAACAAACTGCTGCACAGTAAACCCGTCCTTTGGTTGCTAGACGGATATCTCGCCTACGCCATAAATGACGCAAGTTGGCGAAAGCTAGACGAGCCTTCTGTATCCGTGCTGAGATTTCGTCACACACCAGACCACAAGGGCTGATGAGACTCCCAAGATAAGTGAAGTGGTCATTATCATTAGTTCAGGTGTCGATGCAACCCAACCGTGAAGTAACATTTTGCACTTCGAGGGAGAGAATCGCATTCCGAACATGCCTACATAGTTGCTTATAGTGGTCAGAAGACTCTGCATTTTGTCAGCGTCTTCACCAAATAGAACTATGTTATCGGCGTATTCTGGGTCAACAAGTGAGTCTCCCGGTAAAAGTTCAACTCCAGGAGATTTAGATGATGAAAGTGATATCTCTAAAAGCATATCAACGACAAAGTTAAACAAGAATGGGGAGAGTAGACAGCCCTGACGAACACCACTTGTAGTAATCAATTCTGATGACAGTTCGCCATAGGCTCTCACTCGACCAGTTGTGTTCGAGTAGAGAGCCTTTATAAGGTTAATGTGTTTCTTTGGTACTCCTCTCAGTGACAAACACTGTCATAGAACCTCACGATCAACGGTGTCAAAGAGGACTTTTGTCCTTTCTTATAGATTGGCGCAATCAGTGATTGAGACCAGTCAGATTGAATTACGTTCAGTCTCCAGATTCTACCTAAGACCTCAGTCAATCTCGTTGCTAATACTAGACCGCCATCCTTAAAAATATCAGGGGTAAACCTGTCACGGCCTGCTGTTCTCCTTCGCTTCAGATTTCCGATAGCTTTTTTAACCTCGTAAAGAGTTGGAGGATTTACATTAACTTGCCATTCAGGACGTTTGGAGATCGTGGAAAACTGAAGTGTGGCCGAAGGCAGTTGAACTGATCCCAACAGTGTTTTGCCCATTGATCCAATCTCCTGGGTAGAGAATGAATAATATATCCATCTTTTTCCAAGATAGTTTCGCTGATAGTTGGGTTCCTAATACCGGTTTCTTTAACAAGTTTGAACGGTTGCCTGCTGTTACCTATTGCCGCTGCCTTTTCTATCTCTCTTGCTTTCGCTACCCACCACTGTTCACGATCATTGCGTAGGCTTCTTATTAGCCTGCGCTTAAGTTGACTCCGCTCTTCGTTATGTTCAGAGCCAGATGGGATGCGTTTTCGAGCATCTACCAGTGCGGTAGATGCTGCTGAGATCCAGTGTTTCTCCCTAACCTTATGGTTTACCTTACTAGCAGATATCGCTGCTGTTTCCACAGCTTTTCGGATGTCATTCCACACTGCCTCGGGGTGGGCACAACTTACATGTTTGCCTAACTGTTTTTCTAGTTGTTCCTGAAATATATTCTTAGCTTGCCTATCATTAAGTAGAACCCTTAGAGGCTTCCTTGCAGCATCTCTCTTACGTCCAGTAAGACGCAGACTAATACGCGCTTGCACTAGAGCATGATCTGAATCTAGACATGTGCTGCAGGATGAGCGACAGTCTTCTATCGAACCCCTCCATCGGTGGTTGATAGCGATGTGACCCATTTGTGTCCAACGTTTGGACGAATTCGGTGGTCGCCATGTCAAAAGATGTTTTTCCTTATGCTTAAAGTTAGTATTTGCAAGAAGCAGGCGGTTATCTGGGCATAGCTGCAACAGACGGTCGCCATTATCTGTTCTTTTAGCCACGACACCATAAGATCCACCCAGGTGTCTTTCCCTTTCGCTTAGTTTACCTACTTGAGCATTAAAGTCACCAGCCACTATTACTACATCAAAGCGCCTAGCTTTTCGGAGAAGGTCGGGAAGTTTTCTTTAAAACTCATCTTTTATATCATCAGTTACACTGGGATTGGTCTTGACAATTTTATCTTGCTGTGTTGAGTTGGTGACAACTTGATGCTAAACACGTACCTCCCAAATTAATTGATGCTATGATTTACTTTCACAAAAAGAGGAACACAATAATTGATTAGATTAGTATTGTTATTTCTATCAATTCTAACACAAACTTTTGTTTTCCTTCTTCAGGGGAGATTTAGCCTTTCCAACTGCTGATACAATAGGATTAACAGATCGCAAAGACGCACCTGAAGCTGTTGAGCGTCTAGCTAAACAAATAATTGAACAAGGTGTCAAGCGTAAAGCTTACAGTCGGAGACGTCCATTCGATGCAGATGCTGATATTGACTATATTAATGAGCGTAACAAACGATACAATGAGTTACTTGACCGACATTATGGGAAATATACAGCTGAAATTAAACAAAACCTTGAAAGAGGCACAGCCATATAATTTATTTGGAAAACACTTTGTACAGTTCTTGTATTGTAGAAGAACTTATTGTCTAATTTATGTTTATTTTGTCAAGAAATGGGTTTTGTTTATCGTAACTTTCATTTCATATCCAGAAATTGCACAAGGATGCTGAATTTTTTTAAACATTATTTTCTGATTTAAGTTGACTATTTTTTCGAAACATCCATTAGCAGTTGAAATAATCTCACTTTGATTTCAGTGTTACGTTAGAACTGATGTGATGGTTGTATTTAAATCATAACAATTAGATAGTACCTGTTAGAATCGTTCATCTTAGCTTCTTCAGGAGAAGCGGCTAAAAATTGTATCCTTTGGCATATGGTCCTCAAGACAATAAAAAGATACAAGTAAGAGATAATCTCATGTATATTTGTCTTCAACGTTAATTGATGCTATTAATGTTGTGACGCAGTATGCGAGTGTTAGAACTGATACATAATTTGCTTTTCATATGAGCTCAACCGGCCACTCGAGTGGAAAGAATGAATGAGAAAGGCAGCTTACCGACCAAACCGAATGACATATTGCTTACGCCTGTTACCCTTCGTGAAGCAGCATAAGCCGCCCACTAGCATTCTCCATCCAACTCTGCCGTGGTCAATCCTTTCCAGTTGATACTCATTCTTTTCACGTTCGTTTCCAATTCTCCACCCAGTGTGTTCTTTGGTCTTCATCTTTTCCGTTTCCCTTCAGGACTCAGTTAGCGATTGCCTCACGATGCAGTTTAATTTCTGCAATGTATATTCTGTCCATTCTCAGCATCTTTTCAGATGGAAGCTCGTTTGTCCTCTCCAACAGAAGGCTGTTGCTGATGGTATCCAGTCAACACACATTCGACATCTTGCGTAGACAATTGTTTGTAGATACTTTTACCTTTTTTGGTGATGGTTGTGGTAGTTCTCCAAGTTTCAGCTCCGTATAGTAAAACTGTCTTGACGCTCGTATTGAAGATTCCAAATTTTATATTGGTTGGCAGTTGTTTTGAGCTCTATATGTTCTTCAACTATAGGAGTGCCGCCCCTGCTTTGTCATTCCTTGCATTTACGTCTGCATCGGATCTTTCTTGTTTATCAATGATGCTGTCCAGGTATGTGAAATCTCCCACCCCCTCTAGAGACTCTCCATCAAATGTGGTTGGGCTAGTGTTATCCATGCTTTGCTTGAGGACGTTGCTTTTTCCCTTGTGTATGTTGAGGCCTGATAATGCAGAGGCTGCTGTTGCATATGGAATAGGAGAGCTAGGTCATCTGCGAAGTCCAAATCGTCCAGTTGCATCCAATTTGTCCATTGTAATATGTGCTTCCCCTCAGATGTCGATGTCTTCATAATTCAGTCGACCACCAGAAGGAAGGGGGAGAGTAAGCAGCTTTGTCTGACTCCGGTCCTCAATTGAAATGCGTCTCTAAGCTGTCCTCTATGCACGACTTTGCGAATCATATATTTCCCTTGGAAAGCTAAGCCACCATTCGTGTGTCCTAACCTATAGGAATGAAAGCCATTTCTTGATTAATCATGTGGACTTATCACTTGATATGTCCTCTTGTTACTGTAAAAGCAATAATACAGAGGTTTGTTAGTACAAAACTATAGGCTGATAAAACTACATAACTCTACTGCTTAGCTAACAAAGGGCATATTCTATTTCCGAAGACAGTAAGGTGTGAAAGTAGTTAGAACACATTAACGTTTATCTGATGACAAATTATTTGTAAGTGGTGACAAAAGAAATTAGGATGTGCTTGATTTTTAAATCTGGTCCCATAAATCGCACTTTTTGGCTGGTAGACTTGGGTTTAGTTGCCGTTCGAAAATTATTTCCTTCTATAACTACTTCAAATGCACGAACAAAGGTTTATGACTATTGGAAAACTAAGAAAAAGAAACATATTTTGATAAAATAATGTATATTTTAGAAATCAGGAAAATAATATTTAAGATTTATGTTTCTTCTTATTTCCTGTTCTTGGTCTAACTATATGAGCCTTGCCTCTTGTTGGTTTAAGGCCATGCTCAGCATGTATACCTTGTAAAAAGCTTCTGCTTGGTATTTGATGGTCAGATCGGATACCACAGAGTGCAGATCGACTAGTAACGTCATTTAATGGGAACACTACTGATGACGCATTGCTTAAATTACATTGGAATTCCAAAACATTGGATAGTTCCTCATCTTCAAATCCTAATAAGCCATTAGTAGCTACTGGAACCACTTTTGGATTTTTAGGACGAGCTGGTCTTCGGTCAGGAATACGTTGGTCTGCACAATAAATTGGTTCATCAGCATACTTTCCACCCTTTGGGATTCTCACTGGTTGCTACGGGTAAAAAAATGACATTTAGTATATACAACTTACTTTTACACCGCGCCGTCTAGGCACAAATTTTTTTGCAAAGTGGAATTCTAATTGACCATCTTCGTGTAAAGTAACTGGAATTCGACGTAGACTAGCATGGCCACACCATGGACAAAAGTAGGTGTCTGTACGCTTAGTAGGCCTGTAGTAGTAAAATGAAGAAAAATTGATCTTAATCATTAAAATTCATTAAGGTTCATTTATGTCAAGCAGGATAGTGAGGCGTTATGTGATAAATTCATTAACGGACAATATCTAATGACTTAAAGCTTGATTTTTCTTTTTAGATGTCAGTTCCTAAATTCGACTAAGATTGCCTCACAGGTATAAATTGAGTATATTAGTAAGATCTGAGCTGATTTTCACTGGGGCAAGCCAACTACTTACTCAGTAAAATAGTTAAAGTCCTACAAATAAAACACTATACCTGGTCGGCTGGTGTTTACTGAAATCATGACACGGAATTAAAAAAACTCGGTTGGCTTTTGCCAACTTGCGTTACCTGTGGGGTAGACGAGAATATGTCTAGTAAACAAATGGCAAGTTTACTGTGCAGTAGTATGCTTTGTTCTGCTCTATAGGTGTAAAACATGTTTCTTAGGAATGAAGGATACTAGTATCCGGCTATGGATGTCTTCAGACTATTGATCTCGTATTTTGAGATCATTGAGTCAGACATAGGATACCAGGTACACATAGGAAATCGGTCGAGGAAATAGATTACCAGGCGAGGTGGCTGAGACGTATCAAGTATACTCAATCATCGGCCTGTTTGATGCTGTGGTTCAAAGAAAACTAGGGGCGGCCAAACTAAAATTTGGTGCTGTTCCATAAAATCATCGACTGTTGGAATGAGCCCTCTCGAAACGCTCTCGCATGGCCGTGCGAATATATAGCCTCTGCCAGGGAAGTCCTACTCACTGCCTTCTCGTGGCACCGGTGTTGTTTACGAAATTGAGAGGAAGAAGAGCGAATGTACGGCGCTTTAATCGGGTTGGATACGGGATGTCCACCTAGGGGAGTTGGAAAACCCTGATTCCAAACCAATGGTGCACATGGGCTTCAGTATCCTGAAGGAAAAAATGGCGTATGAACCTATCGTTGGTCACCGGCTACTATGGGAATGCATCGCCTCACGATGTTCCACTGCCTTGTGGACTAGACCTTCAGATCAAAGGCTCGGGGTGTGGCCCCCTAAGAAAACCACCTGTTTCAGTCTGGGCACCTGGGCAGTAACACAGCCCTCACACAAATCTCATTTGATTTGCGAGGCGCATGTGTATCCGGTGGTTTTTTGTACCAATATTTATGTGTTTAAATAAAATAAAATATAAGTACAGGTTATTTGGTTGGGGTCTGTGCAACTAATGTAACCAGTGGTTAAAGACTTTGGGTCGCTGAGAATCATCTTCAATGGCGCAGGTGTATTTACTCCTTATTTTTCTTTGGTTTCTGAGTCCTGAAATCCTATACGTTACTTTACTTTTTCTACATAGAATCTTTCATATCACTACGAATACTGATACTAGTCGACTACTCTTGGATTTGTCTTGGTAATTTTATCTCGCTGTGACGCAGATGTGTCAAGTTCTACACTGCATGACTGATGCACTGAAAACTTATTAACTATAAGTGAGCAATGGAAATATTTGTACTGAACACTTCGAATTAATTACAATTTAAAAGCAAATAAATAAGTCCCGGATGTGCATTAGTTCAAATTCCAACATCAATGCAGGATATGAGTAAATTAATAAGATGTATTAGTACAGTAGTCGAAGAAATAATGGAGTCTCTAATTGTGAAAATAACTAAACATAGAAAATATAGTTTTAAAAGTAAAGTAAGATTAAACGATGAATACACTTGCACTATGGCGACTGATTTTTAGCTGTCACCAAACGATGTATAATAAGTGATTACGATTTTATGGTGAAAACGACCATTGGATAGTCTTTTATCCACCAATGGTCAATAATACCATAGACTAATGCTTTGTCCTAGTTTGACCATCCTGAAGCCTTTTTACAACCTATTTCGACGCAAATCGCTATGGAGAATATAGGCTGGTGGTAGTTGAACATGGTAATATACGAGTAATCATATTAGTAGATCACTTATAAACTTGATCTTTCGACCACTATTAATCATTAGGTAGATGTAAACCACGTATTTTCTAGACTCACTTAAAGCAAGCACAGCACCAAAGTAGATGTGTTCTTGGTTGACGAATACGCAAACCATTTATGCTTACTATGTCGAGACCTGCATGGAAAAGAACATTTTGCATAGCAAAATCAGTTGTCAGGCAAGCTACAACATTTGTTTCAACTTCATTGATTGGTTCCAGTAAATCTCTAAAACAAAATACATTTGAATCAAGAAAAAAATCCATAAAAACTAATAATAGCATAAGAATAAAGAGAATTAAGAATCATTTGATCTACTGTACCTTGTTTATCAAATAAAACTTAGTATTTTCAGCTTACAGATGTACTGGCTGTGTCCGGCAATCACTTATAATCAACGTACAATTTATCACTTATATTTATTGGTTTAAGTTGCTAGAACATATAGACACAACCAGACAAATGCCAGGGCAATGAAATTAGTAACAGTATCAGTGGTAATAAAGAGCATTACGCTAAGATACGATTCAAGAAGGATGAATCCCTGTTATAAAAAGTATGTATCAGTTCTAGAACTTAAAATGTAGTAGTTTTACTTGCATGTCCAAGCTAAAGCGAACGGAAGAGGATAAAAAACTTCAAACTATTGGCTGAATCACTTTGCAGAATATTAGCAGCATTTGCACAAGAGAATATATAAATTAGTGGAAATTTTCACAAGATCAGTGGATGAAAAGTTAGCGTTTGGGGAAATTTACTAAATGTAACGACGCCATACATCTAATCCGTTCTTGTATCGACTGTCATTAAAAGTTGGGCATGGACAATATTACCTACAGGGCTATTGAGGCATTGTCACATTTACATCATAAAAATATTAGACCCAAAGGTCAGCCATTTAAAAATGTGATGTGTTCACTGTGTAACAGATCCAAATTTTATTCTGCTAGGCACTACCCTAAACATTGCGCAATTGCATCTGAAGACGCAGCGTACAAAACTACACAGGTCAACTGAAATACATTGGTTTAAGACCGTTTATGAAATTTGAATTGAACAAATAAAAACAACCAGACACTATCAAAAAGGTTAGCATACGCAATTTTTCCTCCAAGCCCGAAATTAGTCATGGCTTTCTCGTCAAAGTTATTTTCTGTTATCCAATCATCATCATCCGGTTCAGATGCTTCAGTATCACTAGTTTCAGTTCCAGATGTTTTTGTCTCATCACATACATCAATGGATGGAATACATTCTGTGTCCGATTTCGGCAATTCACAACGAGCTAAAGACCCAAGGTTACTGGGCAAAGGTTTCTGATGGCATGGGTATATGTATAGTGACATAATAACGACTTACCACTTCCTTAAGTTTTGGTTCACCTATATATCTTTTATGCAGTTCATAAGTTAAAGCGATCAAATTAATATCTGTTGCAGAAAGAACTGACAGATCTCCAGTTTGTTTTGCAATGCCTTTAACTATGATAATAAATAAGCTACGGGAGATTCTCGATATTTACTTATGTTAATAGAATTAGTTTCTGGTACTTGACAATTCAAGGCATATGGCAAACAATTCATATATTCACGTGTTTGAACATCTTTTATTTCAGATAAAACCTGTGGTATGGTGTAAATAATTGCACCGAAGGTCTAGAAAGGCGTATTATGAAACATTTTACGAACATCACTTACCTCAAGACGTGTACGTTTTAAAAAAGGTGCTGTATCAACAACAATATGCGAAGTACGCTCATTAAGAACCATGAATAACGAAGCTAAGGAGATCAGCCAGAAAAAGAAAGCAAGTTGACAGTGAAAAGTAGTACAAAAACAAGTAATATATCTTTATCGTGATAATATTAGTACCTCGTACTGTATTATACTATTAACATCTTGAATCCACTTTTCGGATTTCAAGCATTCTAAGGACCAGTTATTGATAATTTTCACTCGGCTGATGATACCATACAAGTTATCTGTTACTGAGCCTCACGTGAAATGCATGAGGCTTTATTTTAATTTTGGTTCATTGACTCAGGGGTGTTAGTACATCACTATTCTATCAATATAAGCACAGAGATGATAGAAAAGATGTAGCTGATGAGTGCTTTCAATACTATTGTGTTCCGCTAAGTATAACATTACCGAATTATAAAATCCGGGTTACACAATGAGCAAAGATTAGTGCGAGCAGTGATACTGCTATTTAGTTGGTGTATGGACTCCACATGAACGATCAACACTCAAGTGTCTAAGTGGCCATGTTAAAGCTCCATAAACACAAAGCTTTTGAGATTCAAGTTTACTTTTATTAATGTGAACAGATGTTTAAATCTAACAAATTACCTCATTATTTGATTCAAAAAGATTGCGCAGTATAAGTTCTTAATTAGGACTAATATATTTGCAAAATCTCAGCGAATGAATTTGTATGCAGTAGAAGTTCCCTTGTACAAAATACTAATATAATAACAGTAGAATGTTAACTAATTGCGGAAAAATCTAATTGTTAATTAAGAACTAGGATCAAATTTTGATTGCTTTTTTAATGAGAGTCAGTTGTATTACAACCAAGGTCTATGCTTATTTTAAAATAAACATGTATATGTATATCCAACTACACAGTGGGACTTAATTATATCGAAAAGCCCAACGACAAATTTGTGTAATACATGCAAAGTAAAAATCATCGAAACAAAGTCCTCTAGCAATCCATTGGTGTTGTTCCAAGAATACGACCCACTGACCTTCAAAACAACATATGACCCAACCACTCGTGTGGTGCGAAATTCGGTAGTGTGACTAACATATTTTCAAGTTTCAAACTCCAGAGAAAAATAATCTCTCTCGATGAATGGTATTTAAGTTCTCAGTATCACTTATAAACACCGTACATTCACAAGGTAAACTACTAGGTTAGTGTAACAGGTCAAGAATCCTGGTCAGATCACGTTTCAATTCGCGACAGGACCAGTCTGATGCTATGACTAGACATGTTATCAATTTTATATCATATGTAAGCTGTTAACAAGAAAAATTTTCTTTTTAGGGTCCACATCGTTGGATGATTTCATTCGAAAAGATTCAAACACCAGTCTTGAAAGTTTCTCACATATATTAATCTGTCCATTGGTGAGCCGAATGCGATTCAGTATGCTATAGGATAACATGTAAGTCTGTACTTGCTTTAACGTTAACATAGATACGTTTTTATATTTTGAAATAACTTTGAATGCCATCATATTTTTTCGCACGTTTATATAAATCTAATTCCATAATGTCTGAACACACTGCTAATGTATTTAGGACTATAGGGCCAGTGAAATGTTGAGTGATTATTGAGTGATATTTTTCAAAAAGAGGTATACATAGGGGTCCTGTAGGGCCAGTGAAATGTCACTGAACCCTAGCCAAATCATCCGCAGTTGGGTCACTGAATATCGAACAGATCATCCATCCTTGTCAAGGTCAAAGACAATCAACGCGCATCAGTCAATGATACGCCATGGACTGGCCCATGCGGCAGTGGTTCTACTTTCGTTTGTATCTCCTTTAATTAATATATTCTTGTAACAACGTCCTTTGTGTTGTACAGTCTTCAGAGCATGCATGATCCCTTAATACGTCGACGGGGCAATCCACATAAGGTGCTGGTCGCGAGGTGTAACTTCGAAGTTAGCTTATTCGTTACACCGTCGGGCTCACAAGTGTAGACCATCTACGTTGATGATCTACGTCGGATGATTGGAGGCCTACTCGAGTTAGACGGGGACGGTGTAACGAATAAGCTAACTTCGAAGTTACACCTCGCGACCAGCACCTTATGTGGATTGCCCCGTCGACGTATTAAGGGATCATGCATGCTCTGAAGACTGTACAACACAAAGGACGTTGTTACAAGAATATATTAATTAAAGGAGATACAAACGAAAGTAGAACCACTGCCGCATGGGCCAGTCCATGGCGTATCATTGACTGATGCGCGTTGATTGTCTTTGACCTTGACAAGGATGGATGATCTGTTCGATATTCAGTGACCCAACTGCGGATGATTTGGCTAGGGTTCAGTGACATTTCACTGGCCCTACAGGACCCCTATGTATACCTCTTTTTGAAAAATATCGCTCAATAATGTAGAAGCCTAATACTTGTAATCAGTTTCACTTCCATATGAACGGTATGAGAGTTCAAAGTTCACCGTCCACTGAGGTTTATTCGAAGTGAAAGTGTACTTTGCTTCTAATATGTTTGGAAACTATACTTTTGACATCCATGGAATGAAACGAAAGGACTGACCAAGCGATCTCAAAAATTCACAACGTTGAGACACACTTTTGGACGAAATTGAATTCTGATGACGTTTGACAACAGAAATATTAAAACGTATTAAATTAATTATCGACCAACGTACGTCGGATAAGGGAGGGCTATGTGGCTGCATCCAAATTCCAAAAAGGAATAGTTCTGTTAGTTTTCAATATTCTAGCTTACTGTATCAGGATCAATGGATAGATCGTAGCTGAAGACGTCCGGTCAAGTATACACACCAGATCAAGAGCGGGATTGCCGAGCTATACATACCTCGAATTTACTATCCAGTTTATTTCAAACGCTTCCCAAAATATGTCGAAATCCTTCCAAACATACCTTATGACTAATTCACCCATGACTTCTGACTGGACTAAATTGGTATCGTTCGACTATAATAGTATAACGGGTAAAATCGTTATCAAACCCTAAACATCTATGGCGTTTTTAACACCATCTTCCTTTTCATATACCACCACTTATTATTACGGTCGCCATTATTTATTTCCAGAATAACACTACTGCTCACTGTAACATGATCAATAGTGCGTACACCTAGTTAATTTCCGGCAAATAAACTATTGTCCACTATTATATCTCCTTTATTATAATTTTGAAGGATTAGTTACCATGATTTTGGTTCTCGAATTTCATCATATGTTCACCAATAGCAATAACTGTCTTTTTAGGTACTGTGAAGGAAACAAAGTACTGAAAATCCGTTCGAAGCATTTTATTTGATAGTAATGTCGTTTATTTGTTTTTTATCCCTGTCATGTATTCCGACTTTTATTCACGTATCTTTTCATCGAACTTTATGTTCTTTAGTCTTCTACGTCTGAGCTTACATAATTTAACTTTAGTTAGAGATTTAACTATGATGTTTAAGAGTAATTGAATTATAGTATAAACTAGTGGTTGCAGAAACAACGCAATTTAACCAATAAGTATTAGATGGGCACGAACGAGTGTATGGTACTTGAAATTCAAATTCAAACATTCATCGATACAAAGGAATTATTGGTTCATCCATACACCACATCCACCACAGCATTAATTGCAGTCAAAGTTTCTGTAATCGATTATACGTCTTCTTCTTAGGTTCATCATACGTCTGTCCGAGAGAGTATTGGATAAACTCTCTGTATTATCTAGAATGCACTCGTTAGTATTAGAATTAACAACCGAAATTGGAATAGACTCATCTGATTCCTGGAATGGTATACAATCATCATGTCTGTTGTGTAGTGAAACCACTGGTATCTAGAATTTAAATCATAGACTCTACAACATTATAATCCTCCACAAAATAATGTTGCGTCCTTACGTCTCAATATTATACCCAATATGACGTCCCTAATTTGCATTATCTTCTTATATTTCACACTTCGATTATTATATGTGAGTATTTTGGGTTGCAAACTGACACGTAATTTGAGGCATTCCATCATGTGACTTTGACTTGCATAAAAATTATGATAAATATCCTATTTATTATTCATATTAGCGTACACAGATATATATGCACTGATATGTGTTGTAGCTGCAAATAAATCCCCAAAATCAATAGCTCTGTAAGTGTTCGACATCGGACGCTGACCATATTAGTTTTAGTGGACTCATTTAGCTGAAGGCACTCGGTCATGCTTCCGCACCAGACCACGTTCTCAAAACGTCGTGCGAAACATCTCCTACGATCATTAGCCAGACTAGGTCAGTTACTTCTCAATATATTAATAACCTATCAAATTTATCTTCGAATCTCCTCGCTTCTGACATTTGATTTTACTGGGTGGGCGTGATTCGATTATAAAAGCTGTTACTGGTAAAGATTTGTCAAACTACAATACTGGTGGTATCTTCAGTGTAATTAATACGTGTGATTCATCTAATCTCGATTCACCTGCGATACAATCAGATGGAAAACATGCATCTGCCTCATACTCATTAAGATAATCTTGGAATTGATTTGGATTCTCTGCCTGTGCAAACTTCATATCTGGGCAAACTGGTTCTCCGATTGCTTCCGAAAAATTTGCTATCCCCTCTGATTCATCACACCATTGGCAAATGATTCTGCTAAACGCATATTGATTTGGGTTTCCCTAACATCGATAGAAGATATTGTCTCAGTTGGTGTATCTACGTTCTTATCGAGATTGAAATAATATTGCTAACTATCCCCAACTACAAAAAACAGAACTAGTGAACAAACAATGACACAAAAATCAGTTTAATGAACAATTACAGCTAGTTCGTCCACCAGAACAGCATTTTGGGGATGATGTCAATAAAAAATGTCTAAATGTTTTATATATTCTCACTGAATCTGAAATCCAAAGACAAACTACTAACTTCAGACAAGATACAACCAACTAACCATGCAGACCCTGGCACCATAAAACGAAGCGTTAGCAAAACCCGACGAGACAACTGGTTCGGCTTCTAATACATGGTATAGTTACTAGTATCAACAAATGAACGTTTCTATTAGTGTGGAAATAATATTCTGCTCATTCTGTACAGATCACATGCCGATTGTTAAAGAGACATTACTCAACATTATAAGAATATCGACTGCAAATGTGAAAAGAACTACATTTTTTGAAACTGTTTCCATTTCTGGAAGTGTACTGTGATTTGCAGACCAAGGGGGAAGAATCAATACGACAGACACAATATTAAAAACGTCAAGTAAAACAACGTAGATGTAGTCTGTGGAGCTAAAACTACAATAAAAAATAAATCAAGCCCTCTCAACCAGTACCAAAAACTTAATCGGATGAACAGCTGAAAGGATAAAGATAAAAGAAAGACGAAAGTGTACACTAACATAAGACATTTAAAAACGGTTCAATAGTGCTTTCTCAGCCCTCTTTCTCTTATAGTTTGATTTTGGTCAAAGTGTGATTTTTCATTTGGCGTTGAGTGTTGTCAGGCAATTTAACCATTAGGTTGCATGGTCCCTTAGTCATAAATGGATTGAGTACAACAGAGAACTAATCTGCATTCTATGGACGTCTGGTTCCCCACTGAGAAGAAAGGGCCTCGAGAACCTATAAGCGTAAAATATTTGGTCGTAATTCATCGACCAGTGTGTTATTTCGTGAAAATGGTCAGCCTTTGACCTAGAGGTCTAATCTACAAGGTAGTCGGCCAACATTAGAAGATGCAGTCACATAGTAGCCGGTGACCAACAATAAGCTCGAACGCCATTTTTTTCCGTAGTGTCATGGAGCCCACTTACACCACTGGTTTGGAATCAGGGTTTTCCAACTCCTTTAGGTGGACCTTCCGTGTTCACCAGTACGGTCAAAGGCTCGGATATTCGCTTATCTTCCTCTCAACTTCGTACACAGCGCCCCTCGACGTACGACTGTTCACCACTTTTTTTACTGCTTCGATTTGCCTGTGGTATATAAGGCTGGACATGCGTATTATTCCGAATGAATAGATCTATGTCCGAGCATTAATCAGTCTTAATACAGATGTGCTGCGAATGAAGTAGGGACCACATAATTTACCAGGTACGTTGCCATGGTGACGACTAAGCCAGGTTATACATTCTCCAAAATGACACTTAACTACGATGTCTTGTATTTTAGACTGCCGATATTTGTGAAGCATCCAAATTTCACTTAAACGACCAGAAACTATAGAAACAGAACTAGTTTGTCGAGAGCAACATATGTATGCTCAGATGAGCGCTTGATGATGTCTTGCACCTTCAATACATCTGAATGGAGGATTACAGAAAATATCGAGGTTGCAATTGAATGTCCTGTAAGTCGATTTTGATAGAACTCATGAAATCAACTGTTCGAGTTAAATCACTTTCGGAGTATCTGATTTTGCTGCAAGGACTTTCATCATGATTTGATTCAGTAACACCGAGTCACTCCAAATCATTTGCAGAGACATTTAGTTTACACCTTGTTGAAGGGATGTCAGTCTGCACATCACCGAAGAGTTTTTTGGGTGTTCAGTAATTTTGTAGTTACTAGCTCAAGGAAAACTTCCCTTCTTATTACAATCTGCGATCAAGATCAGTGTATTCTTGCGTCTAAAACAAGTTAATGATTGAATCTCGAAATAAAGTTTGACCGAAAAAAATTGTCTCATTATTAGATCGAGTGACAACATGTTCGAATCCAGAGTAATATTGGCCCACTACCATTCTAAGAGAAAGGATAACCAAAACTATTCAATCCCAATAGGCACGAAACAAAAAAATCTACATATTTCTATCACCTTGGTTTAATTGTGCAACGTGAATGATCTAGTTTGTGTAAAACTGAGGACTAAATAGAAAATTGTCACCAGTTTAAATTAACAAAATAGTTGAAAAATGAGCAGACAAGTTTGACCTCAAAAGGTAAGATTACAGTTTAATTACAAACTTTTCTAAAACTTAAATACTTAAGATTAATAAAGAAAAATAATTTGCTTTTCGGAAAAAGAATGAATAACAACTGGAAGAAACTGGAAAGGATTGCCATGGACAGAGTTGGATGGAGGATGCTGGTGAGCGGCCTATGCTCCTCCACGAGGGGTAACAGGCGTGAGTAAGTAAGTTTTCAAAAGTACATTTGAATTACTGTTGATTCACAACAATATACAAGAATTTATGAAATAGAAGCCAAAATATCTGTCAGTTAATAGATATGTATTGTTATTTACAAGGAATGGCAAGTGAATGAACAGGGTCATGTGAAATATACTTTACTCATTTTGAATTGCTAGACAATTATTCACTAGTTTAAGTAGAGCAGGGTTTTCTAGAGCAGCTGCTACACGTTCCTTATCAGCAAGTTGTTTATTAATTTCATCTTCAGAATCATGTGTACCAGGTTTCACCTTGACTTCAATCTATAGTGAAAAAACAAACAAGAAAAATAGAGAGACAGAAAAAAATAAAGGTGAGTGATAAAAATTATTTTAGAGACAATATCAAAGTTAGCAGTCAGTAATCATAAGCAACGTAGATTCTGTTAAATGTATGTGTCTCGGTTCAAGATGTCACAGATAGATATTAGAACATTGGGATGAGATTTTAAAGATCAACAATAGAGTAGTATAAGCAGTAATAATATCAATAATAGAAGAAAATACCAGATATAGGCATTATGCATTCGAGAAGAAAAAACTAATTCGTTGAATAAAATTTTAAGACTGAAAGATTCAAAGAAAAGGAATAGCGAATGCAAGTGGATTGTTATGATTGATTTGGAACCGTGCTATACAATGTCTCCAACTATTTGTGATGAAAATCATGAGGACCCCAACTAGATAGTCTATACTCACCACTTTTAATTATCTCGAAAGTTAATGACTATATAGACTAATTTCATGTGCTTGTTTGACCTCCCCTAGTTTTCTTTCAATCACCAGTCAAACCATCTAGCATCACCCACCAAGCTACCGTGAGATACAAGTTTTAAATTCAAGGTGTATAACTTGAATAATTAGAGATTTCTTCAGTATGATGTAATATTCATTAAACAAAGTGACAATTAGTACCATTAATATAATGGTCTATAACCAAAGTACAGTGAATTAACAATCAAAACATAATCAAATTAATGCACAGTTATATAACCTTGAATGGAGACCATACATAAAAGAAGCTGACTGGTTCCCTAAATTACCAGCCATTAAATGAGGTATAATCGTATCTCACAAATAGTTCCATATTATAATGACTAAAATAGTTTGCTTTTACAAACATCACATATTAATAATTCTTTACAGTTAGTGTATTGATAAGAGTACATTACACATTCCATTCAATGTCAGTAATGTTCACTTGGTTTTAATTACGTTAAGAATTACTAATCAATGTTTAAAATTAACGAAAAACATTATGCTGTTACATGGTCTATGTAATTTCATTCAGTAGTTTACCTCGATGTCTAACTAACCGATTTATATCATTCAACTGTTTTCCTATTGTAAATTTACGTTACCTAATATATATGCATTGCTGTTAAATGATAATTTTTTCACAGATTGTTAGCGGGAAATAAACCGGATTAAAGCACGTTATGTGCATAATCGTGACGGCGCACGCTGATTGTCTAATTCTAAACCAATCAGCCCTGACAAATTATTGGAGAAAAATTTAGAAGCTTCTTATGTATATACTATAAATATATGAACGTTTTTCTAACCATTGATTGCTGTTCACCTACCCTTGTTATTTTGAATACAATTTCGTTCCTGTTCAACGTGTTCTGATTTTGGAAGTCTTGTCGAGTGTCATTGTATAAGAATACTAAGCAATAGGAGTAGCTGGGTCGTTTATTAGCAAAACAACTATAACATAGATGTTGCACCAGAATAAACAATTAACACATGTTGCTTTTTTCAATTAACTCCGCCTGTAGCTCCTCCAGGGGCTACTGCCGGTCACAAGCCCGGGTAAAGGAGGAGGGTTGAGCATGGGGGTTAGCGACCACATCCCGTAGAAAACCAACTCGCTAAAAACGCTAACCAGAAAAAATAAGTAAGTTTTTTTCAATTAAGTTAGGTGTTGCTTTGTAATCCATTCACTATAAATCTATTAATCTAATCAACCATAGGTCATATCATGCGAAGAAAACACATTGTAAGGAAGTGTTGTGGTCAGTCAGTGACAAAGAACTTCGTACATACGTACATCAGTTCAAGTTGCCATACCACATTAACACAGAGATCCAGTTGTCGATTCAAATATCATAGTGGTAGAAGAAGTAAGAGTATAAGCAGTAATCCGAAAGATTAGGGTTTGAAGATGTTATTCAAAGAGTATAATCCAGTGAAATAAATTTGGAAAGAGAAAAAGGAGAGGGACATGAAGAATTCAGAAGATTAGAATTTGGCATAACACAAAGAGTGGATGCACCTTCGCCATTGCAAACGATTTTGAGCCATGTCATTCAAGGTCTCTAACCAACGGTTGCTACCATCTGGCGAATCTCAATCAGGTAGTCTACACCTACCAACATGACTCAGTCCACTTGTCAGTGACTTCATGGATTTATGCCACGTTTTGGTCTGGCCGCCCCTAGCTTTCTTCCAGCCTATTCTTACGCCGTAAAACATCGCACGTCGGGGAAGTCAGTGGTTGGGCATACGTAACTAATGTCCCAGCCATCTCAACTGATGAAGTTTCACTACTTCATCAATCGATTTGCCATTCATACCTGGTACCCGTTTCCTAACAACTGCATTACTTACCCGGTGGCCCCAGGATATACGAAGGAAGTGTTGAGATCATATAGTTGCATACAAACAGCCTAACTATATACTTTAAATAAAAGAAAGAATCACTTAATAAAAGCAAATTAAAAATTGAAGTTTGAAACAAAAATAAATGTCAATACAAACTCACTTTAAATCGTCGAGGTAGTGAACGAATTAATTTCACTTTAATAGCTAATCCAATTAATGTAGCCATACTGCAACCAGGGATTGTAGGTGAATATTCAACACAAACCCAACTTTCGGTATCATTCACATTAATCCAATCATCATTCAGTACACTTAACACTTCAAGACTATGAGGATGTTCAGGATCTCGAATATCACGAATATGATCTTAATACATAAGATAAAATATACTACTAAACGTATTGAGATAGTATGGATTTATTTGATTATAAATAATAAAATTTCCTTTATTTTCATTTCTAGCAAACCATATTGTGAAACTCATACGGAACTTGATAAAATACCATTTAATAAAATAACGGAGTAGCATTATAAACCTAGTTGTGACTACCTAACAGTTAATTTAACATTAAATTATCACTTATGGGTGTAGAAATAAAAGATGAACCTATACACTCTAATTGATAAGGAAAATTGAAAGGTACTACATGATATTAGTCGGAGTACTGATGAAAGTCAGATCACTGATCAACTGTCTCATTCCAATGAGAAGTCTTGACGAGTGGGCATGAAACAGTTAGCACCAACGGAACTGAATGATTATCGTGTTATGTATCGAAATACTTGAAGCTGAAACTGTAATGGACTGAGAAAAGCTAGACATAAGACGTATCTATGCTCACATGCTTTTTAAAAGTCAAGGGTTAGGTGAGAGATGATAAATAAGGCAGGTTATTGGACGAAGCTGATTATGCAGTTTGTGAAAGTCTTAGCTCATACATCTAGGGGATATATATATACCAATGACTTGTGCATATTATCACTCGGTGGCCAATTACAACCTCCTATTCATTATTATTCTTCACGCTTGCATGGACTGAACTATAGTAAGCGTGTATTCTGTATGTGATTGGACGGCAAATGCAAAGACCTGTACCATGGACTGCTAAAACAGCGGTTTAAAAAATTAAGTGTAAGATATGAGGGTCCTGGATTGGATCCCTAATCACCAGTTACAGGTGTGTACCGCTGAAGAGTTCCACACGAGGATGAAGCAGTTGCCTAATGCCCTCTTGTTGTTAGTTGCACCTCATTTGACATCAATTTACGATAACTACAACCTATGTCATTAAAAGCAAGAACTAATAATTTATACATACTCAAGAATAAAAAATGTAGGGAAATGGAAATAATCTAAATGAAATAAAACTCACCAAATATTTCTGCTTTATCAATAAGTTGACGTTGACCATCCCACTCAAAGTTATCAATATTTAAACCTAGTTTATTTAGCCGAGGCTTTACAGGTACATGTAACACTGGATTCAGATTTTCTAGCATAGAGAAGAGAATTTCTAAATGTTCACAAAAAATAATGAAGAAACTTGATCTTCAAATGATTAACGGGAATAACAATTTCAATTGAATTGTGAATCAAGAGAAAATAAGATGTGGAAGTTATTTTCACTATAAACTAACGAGTTGGAATTGTAAGAAAAACTGAAAAGCATTGAACAACTATTACATCTTTGTTCATGACTCCCTCCCTTTATTTATTTAAACACATAAATATTGGTACAAGGAGCCCCAGATACGTACACACTACACAAAAAATTGTCATTTCATTTAATTGTGTGAGGGCTATGATACTGCCCAGGTGCACAGACCGAAGCAGGTAGTTTTCTTAGGGGGCCACACCCTAAGCCTTTGACCTAAAGGTCTGATCCACAAGGCAGTGGAGCAACATCAAGAGATGCAGTTCCATGGTAGCCGGTGACCAACGATTGGTTCATACGCCATTTGTTCCCTCAGAATACTGGAGCCCATGTGCACCATTGGTTTGGAATCAAGGTTTTCCAACTCCCCTATGTGGACTTTCCGTGTCCACCAACCCGGTTAAAGCATCGGACATTCGCTTTTCGTCCTCTCGATTTCGTAAACAACACTCTTGGTGTGAGAAGACAGTGAGTAGGACTTCCCTGGCAGAGGCTGTATACGCGTAGCCGTGTGAGAGCATTTCGAGAAAGAGGGCGGGTCCCCCACTCTCGGCCGTACCAGGGTATTTGGGGATAGAACAGAAGATTCATTTGTCTCCATCTTTATTTCACGTGATACTCATCTCACATTATCAGTGACTCACGATTGATTTGGCTATTGGAAAAGGAGACAAACTGCTTCATTCTACTGACAACGTGGATACTATCAAGTGTCCCTTGGTACCAGCAGTAAATGAATTCTTTCACCGCATAACATATATACACACGGATGGAAATACCGAGTGACTTAGGAGATATAAAAATAGTACTATTTAAATGCTAAATTTCTTTAAAATAATATCTCAATACAATCATTCATTTACAAGTTATTTTTGGATTAATTACTAGTCGAGGGTAAATAGCTAAAACGAATGTTTTGTTGAACAAGTATCCTTCTGAATCATTCTATAGTCCCACATCTTATTTCTTTATTTTTACAAGTTATAGCTCAGCATTATCATGAAACTATTCAATAGTAACTAAACAGTTTTATAAAAAATTCTGTACAATCGAAGTGTCAGGATAGATTGACATTAAGTGGATAACTTATAAAAATCATGAACCGTTGGGTGATGATAATGACTATGAAATATTACGAACTGATTGAAGTTAACGATGTAAATCAATTAATACCAACTAAGTGGCTATAAAGTCAGGCGCTCATCACGAGACCTAGAAGTCTTGGGTTCGAAACTTGACGTGATTGTAGATGTATATTGTTGAGCAGCCCTATGTTAGAACAGAACTGAAAAATCAATGCTTCCTGGTTTTTAGTGATTGTTTAACAAAAGCCAATCCACCACGATGTGGAATTCTGAAAAATAATTAGGTTGGTACTTTTTTTTTACAGATTTCTACAGAACTTTTTAAAGATGAATTACATTATTACTTAATTATTGATTATGAAATCTAATGCATTTGTAAGTTATCAGAAGGGGGTTTTATGGAGATTTTATTATTTTTATATAGTCGAGATCATGAGTCAATCGAAGCTAGACCACCATTTAAAACCTGGAAGCACTAGATGGCTGTTTCGTCCTATTGTGGGACTCCTCAGAAGTGCACATCTACGATCTCACCTCGCGAGATTCGAACCCAGGACCTACCAGTCTCGCACCAGAGCACTTAACCGATAGACCACTGAGCCGGCATCCAACGGTGTTGATGTCTAACCTCAACCAATCCACGAAATTGCGCGACCAACTTCCACTGTACTGAGGTAGATACCTGTCTCTACCTGACATGGATTAGCTCCACTGGTCACGACTTCTCACTAGAACTCTAGGACTTACCTCATGGAGCCAGTCGCTAGTGAGCATATAAGTTGTGGCTTCATCATTAAGCATTACTCTAGTGTAAATGAATATTTATATAAGGTATATGAAATTATCAAATCAATCAAGGTAATTTATGAGTCAATTATTCCAACGACGTTGATTATGCAACCATACATAATGAGTAAAAAGTACAAATGGATAGCAAGAAGACCAGTAGACTACTTACTATCAATTTGGACTGTTTACATATTATATATGGTTACATAATCAGCGCATCGTAAGTCGGACGCTTTTATGCCATACTTTTTAATGATACCTTACGGTGAATCATACTGAAATCGGTGAAGTAAAGTCAACAAGCAAACTTATCATCCCAAAAGATTATGAAGGGTTTTACAATTTTGCTTATCATTATTTTTTACGTACTATGGTCATGATAATCTTATGAGTATCGTTTCCATTTCAGTGGATAGATATCACCGAATAGAGAACTTTATAGTTTACACAAATTCAATCACGGAAATTCAGAAGACAGCAAAACAAAGATGATGGGCACTTCACTGCTTACACAACGGTTGAGATTACACAAAAACACGTCTATTTCTGGTAAATAAAATACAGTATATGAATTTCAGAGTTTTTTTTTTGAAAATTTATAACCGTTGGAAAATGTCTTAATTTATATGTACATTTGTTCATCACACTATACTAGACACTTATTTTTCTTAAAAACTGAGCGAGAGAACACTCTGATTCTGTTAATGCAAAGTGAAAATACTGTGATTTGCATACATACTACTACTAATAAGCAAACAGTCCAGTGAGAATAGTAGAAAAAAACCAAACACAATAGCATTGTCCAAGTGGTCAAGTTTATTAAACAATTAACAATACAGAATAGACAGCTAACAGGATGCAACATGTATGCATGACGAAGTTAAGATCTGAATTGAGCCATATCATTTGGTTCTTGAACATTCGCTTCATGTATACGTCGTTCCAATGTATCCAATGTCTTGTTCATCTAAAACAACAACAACAGAGAGCAGAAGTAATTTTGGCGATTATCGAATCTGAAGCCAGCTATTCTGAGTGTTGTTAGAGTTATAATAATGGATATCATTTTGCGGCTCCCTATGGCGTAGAAAGATACATTACTTTGAGGCACATGGGAAGGAAATGGGGTAAGGGGTGATCTTGATGACCTGAGAGTGTGATCGATGGGTTCAAGGGAGGAATGCATGAGGTTAGTCGTATACGGCTTTTTTGAAAAAAGTTTTAGATGTGTTATCGTTTTACTTTTATGACATTGCCATCAGAGATGTGTGATGTGTACGATATTTAGGTTCGACAATTTCTGACCCCGTTCCTTCGTTGTAAGAAGGTAGCACTACTCCAGATGTTGGTTAAATGAAGGAAACACTCTGCTGCTGTCATACTCCTGTACAGTCAGCAGTAAAACTTTGGCTTCAGGCAATGAGTTTGAAGCTTTTAGGATGTTTTTCATCGAACTTGGGTGATATGGTAGGAACTAAATGAAGGAGTGTCTTACTTAATATAGGTCAATCGGGTCCTCACAATATGCCGGTGTAGTGAACAAAACAACGGTTGGGGAAAATCGAATGTATTTAAGCAAAAATTACAGACTATCTCAGTAAATTCTGATAACCAAACAATGAACAGTCAATTTGCAAATTAACAACCAATTGTTTCAATCTTCTCTGTTTCTTCTCTAATTTCATTGCTCATGCATTTTCCAAACGATTGCGCTTCATTTCAGTTCTTTACACATCGGTCTTCTGGCAAAATACATTCTATGTCTGACCAACACCATATACTACTTATATAGATATAAGTAGACCACACCACACCGGCTTAATTACCACACCAAACCAGTAGCTACAGTCGGCCTAGAACTGGAAAGTGATCATACTGACTTAAATTCTATAAGCCATTGTCCTAATTCTTAAACTACTTTTAGGCATAAAAACATGAATCCTATTTATATTCTGTAGTACGAGTTTTTAAGTAATATCAATGTTTAAAAATAATTATCCCAGGGACAGGAGGATTAGTAAAGAATAGATTACTCACTCACTTAAAAGGTAAAACCTAGTGCATATGTGCGTCGGTTTAAGCTGCCCAATCATATGAACATAGTAAGATGAAATTAACAAGACGCGTCCCACATTAGTAGAAAAAGTAGTAATCAAAGAAGTGATAGAAAACTCTGGGTGTTGATCAAATAATTCAAGTAACAATTAATTTTCAGAATAAAGTATAAACTAGTTTTAAAACTCAAAATTTAAGGGGAAATAAGGACAAAATACATCTACACCATTGTGACCGATTCTTAGTCATTTTTTACTCAATATCTCCAACTACTGGTCACAATAGTCATTCACCTACCAACAAACATGCCTCAGACAAAGTCAATGACAATATTGGACGGATGTCTCATAGTGGATTGACCGACTCATAGTTTTTCTGACCTACGCCTACACCAGTCGATAATGTGCGTTTAGAGGAGCAATGGTTAAACAGACGTAACCTATGTTCTAACCATTTCAATTCGACGCAATGTAAATTTGAACTTGATAAGAGACTAAGTTAAGTGAAATATTGGGAATAACTAGATAACCAATATAATTGTAAAAATATTATGCTACACGACTAATACGCAGACAACGGCTGATTCATAGTTTTATACATCACATCGTTCACTATATATAATGTTTAGGACTAATGTTAGCACGATACAGTCAATCATTTTACATTATTGCGGAATTAACTAATGGGGAGTTCGTACCGATAACATTATGTCTATGGCGATCTCTAATATGATTTAATTGTGAATAGTGGCAAGTATGAAAATTAAAGGTCAACATAGCTTATTCTTTATTTCAAACGAAACGAAAACCAGATTACGTGTTTAAAGTGGAACAACGTGCATTTTTAGTCAATAAAATGTTGTTTGATTTTTGTTCATTCAATAGCCAATGGAAGTGTTTAAATGCTAGTATCTCTG